CTCATGAAACCTGCCTCTGTTTCACCTTCTGGAACAGCCTTTTTTCTCTGAGCTCTCCTAGTGCATATTTGTCCACTTCCTAGAATACGGCTTCTCTTCTTTATTTAATGGTACTTTCCGGAGAGCGGGTGGTGCCTTGTCTCTTGCATTTGCCCGCTATAGGGGCAGCCAATAAATAGCATCTCAAAAGATATTTATCCAGTCATGGAATTGGGCACTATGGATTACAGTGACAGAAATGTATGTGCTTGGTGTCCAGAATGCCTTTATTTATTTTTTTATGTTTATTTATTTATTTATTTATTTATTTTTTTAAATTTTTTTTTTCAACGTTTATTTATTTTTGCGACAGAGAGAGACAGAACATGAACGGGGGAGGGGCAGAGAGAGAGGGAGACACAGAATCGGAAACAGGCTCCAGGCTCTGAGCCATCAGCCCAGAGCCTGACGCGGGGCTCAAACTCACGGACCGCGAGATTGTGACCTGGCTGAAGTCGGACGCTTAACCGACTGCGCCACCCAGGTGCCCCTATGTTTATTTATTTTTGAGAGAGAGAGAGACAGAGACAGAGACAGAGACAGAGCATGAGTGGGTGAGGGGCAGAGAGAGACACACACAGAATCAGAAGCAGGCTCCAGGCTCTGAGCTGTCAGCACAGAACCTGACGTGGGTCTCGAACCCATGGACCGGAGATCATGACCTGAGCCAAAGTCGGATGCTCAACCAACTGAGTCACCCAGGTGCCCCTCAGAATGCCTTTAAATTGGGACAATATTTTGTCACATTTCTCCCATTTATATCGGGTTGAAATCTGCCTATTAATAATAAAGAAGTAAACAGCATAGTTTATAGTACCGAAGAAGGGTTCTGGAGTTATGTTTGAGTTGGAAACCTGCCCTCCATTTGATTGCTAGGTAACCTCAGCAAGATATTTTTTTCGTTAGATTTCAGCTTTCCTGATTGTTAAGCAGAGATAACAACTTGTATTTCAGTGAACATAAAATGCACTGTTATTTTATACACTACTACGAAAGAAAAATCACTGTCAACTAAACAATGATATGCTTTCTATAGCTTCGAATTTTTATTTTATACATATTAAAATAGTTCTTCTAGATGTATTTAGGCTTTTGAAAAGTCACGTATCACTCTTCCAAGAGGAAAATTAATCACTTAGGGTGTTCCTAAAATGTCTTCATGTTTAGAGTCTGAGTGTTCAGAAACACATTTCAATTCCAAGTGGTTGGAGCTCAGGTTATTTCACACGTTCTCATCCTCTGCAGCAGTGAAACTATTGGTGATGGAAGTCTTTATCCTCTAAGAATAAACTACCATTTCTGTGGGGTTCTATAGGTTTCTGCCAAGCTGCAACACCATTCTTGAAGTTTTAAGTGTCGGTGCTTTCCTGATCTTACAGATCCGTTACAATAGATGGCAACAGCCAGGTCCCAAATGATCCTTAAAAGGTTTGTACTTTGAGACACCAGGGGATTGCAGATGGTCCTCTAGGCCACCAGGAAAGACAGCCACCCAGTAACAGCTTCATCCAGACTACCTCCTGCCTGATAGCAACTGTAAGAGGCATCACCACTTCAGAGATGTTAACATGTGAAAACCAAAGCGTGCATTTCAGAATAGATAACATAGGACCTAACTTCCTTCATAAGGATGTGGTAAGAGATTGAGGAGAAAAGGCTTGTAGCTTTTATTGTGGAAGCATCACGGAGCCCTCTGGTAGCAATAACTATTATTTACAGAGGGCTCGTTAATGGGATATGCTTCTTAATTGATAGTGTAAGTTTCATGTTAAAATTTTCCCTAATATATTTTTCCTTTTTTATTGAGGTATGATTTATATTCAGTGAAATGCACAGATCTTCAGTGCCCCATTATAGAAATTTTGACACCTGTTATCTGCAGCCCTATGCAGATATTTTTATCACTCCAGAAAAGCCACCTTTGTGTTCCTTCCCCAGACAGCCTCTGTTTTGATATCTTTCACCATGGATCAGCTTTGCCTGTGCTAAAACTTAACGGAATCATGTGATATGCAGTCTTTTGCACCTTTTTTCTTTCTTTCTTTCTTTCTTTCTTTCTTTCTTTCTTTCTTTCTTTCTTTCTTTCTTTCTTTCTTTCTTTCTTTCTTTCTTCTTTTTTGAGAGATTCCTACATCACCATGTGTATGAGGCCCTTGTGCCTTTTTGTGGTGGAGTTGTCTTCCGTTGTGTAGATGTGCCTCTGCGTCTGCTTTTCTCCCCTCGATGGGCATTTAGTTTGTTTCATTTGGGCTACCACAGGTGAAGCCACGATGAGCTTTTGAGTACAACTATTTTTGGTTACACGTTTTCGTTTCTCCTGGGTAAATACCTGGAAGTAGAATGTTTGGGTCCAGGGGTAGGTGTGTTTTTAACTTTATGAAACATGGACAGAAGTCTCCACAAGGTGGTTGTGCCATCGACCCTCCCATTATGCACAGGAGTCCATAACCTTGGGCTTTGGTGTCATTCACTTGAGCCATTGGAATGGTTTTGCAGTGGCATGAATTTGTATTTTTCTGTTGACTAAGAGACACCGACATGTTGTCATAGGATCACCAGCCCTTTGCATATCTCACCCTGTAAAGTCAGTTGCCTGTTTTTCCATGGGGCCATTTGTGTTTTAATTACTGAGTTGTAGGATTCCACTCCTTCGTCATATAGACGTATTGCAAATATATTCTCCCCTTCTGTAGCTTGCCTATTCATTTTCTTAATGGTATTTTTTATGAGTAAAGGTTTTATCATTGTGATGAAGTCCACTTACCTATTTTTTTTATAGGTAGTGTTTTCTGGGTCCTAACCAAAGTTTTGCTTATTCCAACGTCAGAAAGGTATTCTGTATTTTCTTCTAGAAGCTTTATAGTTTTTGCTGCTACAGGTAGCTCTGTGATCTGTCTCTAATGAAATTTTGTGTATGATTTGAACTATGGATCAAGGTTCATATTTCTCCGTCTCGCTAGCTAGTTGTCCTATTGCTATTTGTTGGCAATACAGTTGACCCTTGAACGATGTGGAGGTTAGGGGTGCCGGCCCCCCCACGCAGTCAGAGTATAACTCTTGACTCCCCAAAAAATGTAACTGCTGGTAGCCTACTGTTGACCGGAAGCCTTACCAATAAACATAAACAGTTGATTAACACATATTTTTTATGCAATAGGTATTACATACTGTATTCGTATAATCAAGTAAACTAAAGAAAATGTTATGTAAAAAAATTTTTTTAATGTTCATTTATTTTTGAGAGAGAGACAGAACATGAGCAGGGGAGGGGCAGAGAGAGAGAGAGGGAGACACAGAATCTGAAACACTTTCCAGGCTCTGAGCTGTCAGCACAGAGCCTGATGCGGGGCTCGAACCCACAAGCTGTGAGATCATGACTTGAGCCACCCAGGCGCCCCGAGAAAAGAAAATGTTAAATGTTATTAAGAAAATCACAGGAAAGAGAAAATATATTTGCAGTACTCTACTGTATTTATAAAAAAAAAAAATCCATGTGTACCTGGATCTACATGTTTTAAACCTGTGTTGTTCAGGGGTCCATTGTACTCTTTTCCTCATTCACTTACTCTGGCGCTTTGTTGAAAGTCAGTTGACTGTGTGAGGTCTACTTCTGGACTATTCTATTCCATTGATCTGTTTGTCTATCTATTTATCTATATGCCAATGTTATACGGTCGTGAGCTGTAGCTTCAGCATTATTTTGAAATCAAGTAATACATCTCCTCTTCATTCTACTTCAAGGATTTTTTTTGGCTGATCCGGGCCTTTGCATTTTCCTTTATGTTTTAGAATAAGCTTGTCACTTCTACAAAAGACCATTATGAGATTTTGACTGGAATTGTATCGAATGAATAGATGAATTTGAGGAAAGTAGAAATGTTAAAAATACTCAATTTTCCAATATATGTATATATAGTTTCTATTTTTCTGATTCCTTTAAGTCTTCTTTAATTATTCTTTCAGGAGTTTTATCTAAAAAAAAATTTTTTTTAACGTTTATTTATTTTTGAGACAGAGAGAGACAGAGCATGAACGGGGGTGGGTCAGAGAGAGAGGGAGACACAGAATCGGAAGCAGGCTCCAGGGTCTGAGCCATCAGCCCAGAGCCCGACGTGGGGCTTGAACTCACAGACCGCGAGATTGTGACCTGAGCTGAAGTCGGACGCTTAACCGACTGAGCCACCCAGGCGCCCCTCTTTCAGGAGTTTTAAAAATGGTTTTCTGTGTGGAGGTCTTCCACATGTTTCTTTAAATTTATCCCTAAGTATTTTGAGTGTTAAAATCTTGTAAATGGCATTCTATAAAAATTCATAGACCACTTGCTGCTGATGCTTAGAAATGCAATTGCTTTTGTATATTGCCCTTGTGTCCCGCAATCTTGCTAAATTCAGTGTGTGATATATTTTACTTAGTGCTTTACAGAATTTCATGTTTATTCTTGAAGCCACCTGTGATGCAGGTGTTAGTACAATCAGATTTTATAAGAAGTTTGCCCTGAAATTGCACATGCCTCTTTCTTTGCTCAAGGTCATGCAGGTTGGGTGACAGGAGGAATATGATTTGAATTGAGGTCTAGGCTGACTCCAACGGCTCGTCCCTTTCCATTTCTCTTTGACATTTGGATATTTGAATGGCATGATAGCATGTGGCTTCCCTGGATTTCACTCGGACACTTTTGTGTCATTGTGTTTCACAGGGACACGAATTGGTCAATGGAACGTTTACAGCAGACAAAACGAGAATAAGGCGATAAAGAGACTGGGGGTTTTCCTAGCAGAAGGAGGATAGTCAGTGTTTTCCCGGACTCCTCCACGGAAGACCATTCATGCAGTTGGATGCAGTTGCAAAGCTCAGCCCTCTTTCTCCGTACCGTTGGTGCGCCTTAGCTGTTGCTAAATCTTCCACATGTGGGGATGCTGTAAAACTTGTTTTCCCTCCTTCTCTCTTGCAATGTGCTGCAGGAAACCATTTCTGTACAGCCAAGGAGCTCACGGAGGAGATGAGATCACTAACATCAGAGAGGGAAGGGCTGGAGAGACTCCTCGACAAACTGCTGCTGCTGAGCTCCAGGAATGTCCAGAAGCTGGGAAGTGTGAAAGAAGACTACAGCAGACTAAGAAAGGAGCTGGACCAGGGGGAAACTGCCCACGGTAAGTAGTCACTGCCGCCTGGTGAAATATCTACGGTACCAATTGTATTGTGTGGTGGTAGTGTGACCATCCCCGTGAAGGGGGTTCTGGAGCACACGACACTTTTCCTGGAGGATCTATTTGGCAGGAGCCTTGGCGAATGGGATAGAATTACTTCTCACTTTTGTTTTGCTATTAGCAGGCGATGTCTTTTCTTTTTCTGTCTCACCCCCCCTCCCCCCCCCCCCCCCCGAATTTGCTAATGGCCTTGTGATTATTTAGAGCAATCCCTCCCTTGGCACAGGTCTTGAGAATTTTCTGTTTGACAATTATGTTCCTTTTGTTCCTTGTCTCAGTCTTCTGGCTTGCACAATCAGGGACAAAAGCAGGCTGACTCAGAAAACCGAATAAAGACCATGAAGTGGCTCTTCTATGTGTGAGGTTTTCTGAGAGCTTCTTTCCTCAGGAAGAATGATGTAGAAGAGGCCAGTGCTGCCCTAGCTGAAGTGTCTGCTTGTCAGAGGAGTTACTGTGTTCTTTGCTTGTGTTCTTTTCCTGTTCCGGTTGTTAAGAGCAACTGAGGTCACCTTGAGGTTGGTTCCCTGAGGGATGGTCTCAGAAGATGCTGGTTCAGTCCAAATTGATGAAGTGAAAAAGTGAAAACTTATTTCTTTAAAAACATGTAAAGAATTTACAGTGGTTCAGTTTCTAATCAGAAGAATGAAATCACGAAAAATAAATTCAGATTTAAAATATGTTAGACGCTAGAACCTGTTTTTTCACTGGTAAAATGAGGAGAATAATATCTAGTTCAAAGGCTGATGAAGTCATGCAGATTAAATGAAGCAACTTCTAAAGATTTTGAGGGTGTGTGTGTGTGTGTGTGTGTGTGTGTGTGTGTGTATGTGTGTATGTGTGAGACTGACCTTGCATTTCTTCTAGGGAGTAAAGGTTGCTGGAGGCCAGAGGTCATACATAGTATATCATGGTCCCTAAATAAATGTTGTTCACTAGAAAAATGAAAGACCTATCTACTAATAAATAGCTATATTTACAAAGTATGCTTATTTAAAAAGAAATAAGAAAAGAATGGGGATGTTAGGTAGCCACATTTGAAATATGGCTATTTGAAAATACTCCACAGATTGAAGTAAATGAAGACTTGTGCTTAAGACTGAATAAAGGGGCCTCCTGAGTGGCTCAGTCAGTAGTTAAGCTTCCAACTTTGGCTCAGGTCATGATCTCCTGGTTCATGCCTTTAAGCCCCTCATTGGGCTCAGTTACCGTTACTGTTACTTGTTACTGTTACTGTTGTGAAGGTGTTCTTTATGTTTTAGGGTTGGATTTTGCTGGATCAGCTATCCCTGTGCTTTAGACTGAAGCTAAGTTTTAACCAATCTGAGGTGACCTGGCTATTGGGTCAACCAAATTAATAATCTTGGGTCAGTGAGAGTAATGGGAGACAGATAAATAAATAAATCATAAATTCCATAGTAGATTGACGCTTTTATCCATTGAAATGCAATAAAACTAGGCCAAAGTCCATTTTCTGTCTTTTGTTGGCTTTTGAGAGTTAAAATTTAGAGGGAGCTCTAAAAGTAGAGCTTTAAATATAGAGCAAATACAGAGGGCCAGTATGCACATGTGTGTATGTACTGTGAGCTGACTTTTTTATCCTTAGATAAAATATTTTAAAATAAGGCTATTTAAGGAATGGGCAATATGTAGAATTCTTAAAGCAGATTTTGATTTCTAGCTATAGTGGCACCCGGGAAAAAGTCAATTCGGATACCGATGAGCAGCTCCATGATGGTCAGGGACCCAGGCTCTTCTATTCTGTCCATCCACACCCGGGACGTGTGGTCCAAGATGGCTGACACACACACACATGTCCAAGGCCAGCCAGGGGTTCTGTTTCTATAGCAAATGGAGAGTTTTGTTTGGTTTCGTGTTTTGTTTCGTTTTCTTTTGTTTTAAGGGAAAGAGAGAGGGAGAGTGAAGCAGGGGAGGGGGAGAGGGGGAGAGGGGGAGAGGGGGAGAGGGACAGAGAAAATCTCAAGCAGTCTCCATGCCCAGAGCAGAGTCCGACATGGGACTGGATTTCATGACCATGAGATCATGACCTGAGCCCAAATCAAGAGTTGGATGCTTAACCGACTAAGCCACCCAGGCACCCTGAGATTTGCAGTTTTAGGGAACAATTGGTAGTCTGTCTCATACAGAGAACTCTTATTGATGGAAAGTGCTTTGCTGACCACTTACGATATTATTACATCTATGTCTCTGGCTAGACTGAGATCAAAGAAAAGCTGTGATTAGTTTCATTTGTATTGTCTCAGTATCCAGGGTGGTGTCTTTGAAAATAGTAAATGTGCCATAAATTTTGGTCATTTACACGGGCCAGATGTTAAAATGAAACATACCTTTATTTCTTTTATTCCTTTACTCCTTTACTTTGAATTACAGACCCAGACCTTGGGTCTTCTTTTTTTTTTTTTTTTTTTTTTTAATTCTTAAAATTCATTCTAATTTAGTGAGCACAGAGGTAAGTTTGTCTTTCATGGAAGATGCTTGAGTTGTCTGAGTGGGATTTTCAGATGGGGGTGTCAGCAGACAGAACAAGATGATGAAAAAGTACTGAAATGTGCCAGAGTCCTCAAAAGACAAAGAGAGACAGAAATCATCACTGAATCCATTGACTTTGTCTCAGTGACACATAGTCTCTGTGAAGAGATGCAAAGGCTGTGTGTTTTAACCTCTATCAGCTGTTCTTAAGACTTCGGGAGAACACGTTTGAATTCTGAGCAACTTTACAGTGAAATAGAATGGAAAGCTAAATCTATCTTTCAGCCCCTGAATACTTATGGAGATTAGCTATAAACCTTTAATTTTTATGGATTTTAATGTTTTGTTTTTTTTAAGGAGGGTAGGACAAAAAAATCAGTAACTTCTTTAGTTTGCTACACCTGCTTTTCAGAAAAAAGACAACCATGAGATTTATATAACTTTTTCCATCCCTTGTGTATAACTTGGTAATCTGTATTGTACTTTATTAATATTGTTGATTTCACACTATAACTCAGATATAAAGGAAGCAGACGTCAAGGGGAGAGATTTAATCACAGAATAATCAGGGCTAGAATTTTAAATAGGACATCATTAGCATGTTAATGAATTTTCCCATTTTATGCCAGCTGCCTGAATGGAAAAGATGTAGCTCAAAAATCTGGCAGGATCTGTGGCCCACTGAGCTGTCAGGAATTCGTGTAGAGGGTCCGTAAAGTACGTAAAGGAGTTTTCTGTGCGAGTATCAAATGGCAGGATTTCGTTTTTACTGGCAGTGATGGCTGGCTCTGTTCAGCTTTAACTCATTTGCCTTTCAATGAATAAGCACAAATGGAGGGCGGAGAAGGAGCAGTTTTTTAAGTGTAATAAAGTTGGAGTGCAGTCAATTTTTCAGTTATGGTTTGGGGCTGCTACAGGAGATCCCCCTTATCTGCAGTTTCGTTTTCCAGTGTTTCCGTTACCCACAGTCGACCCCAGTCAGGACAAAGATGATCCTTCTTCTGACGAATCATCAAAAGATCAGTAGTAGCCTAACCCTACATCACCACACCTACATCACTCCCCGACTTTATCTTATCATGTAGGCATTTTATCATTTCACATCGGCACAAGAAGGGTGAGTGCAGGATAACAAGATGTTTTGAAAGAAAGAGTGAGACCACATTCACAAAACTTTTATTACAGTATATCATTATAATTGATCTATTTTATTATTAGTTATTGTTGTTCATTACTTACATGCCTAATTTGTTTTTTTTTTTAATGTTTATTTATTTGTTTTGAGAGAGAGAGAGAGAGTGTGCATGCGAACTAGGGAGGGGCAAAGAGAGAAGAAGAGAGAATCCCAAGCTGAAAGCAAGGAGCCTGACACGGGGCTTGATCCCACAAACTGTGAGATCATGACCTGAGCCAAGGCCAAGAGTTGGACGCTCAACTGACTGAGCCACCCAGGCGCCCCTTAATGTACCTAATTTGTAAATTAAAGTTTATCATAGGTATGTATTTATACTAAAAAACATAGTGTACATAGGGTTCAGTACTCTCCATGGTTTCAGGCATCCCCTGGGGGTCTTGGAATGCATCTTCTGTGGATAAGGGAAGACCACTGTACCTACCTTTTGCGTTAGATTAGAAAGGTCCTGTGTCCATGCTGACATGGTCCTGCCCTGATTTTTGGACTGCCTCATGATTTTTGACCTTGAAATAGCTGATGAAAGGAAGTGTGACATTCTCTAGTGAGATACTTGTTCCTTAAACTTTGAAGTCCACAAGTGAAGCTTCTTTTAGAAGTCACCTCACACCTAGTAAGAAAAGACTTTCAGTTTAGAGATCCTGTGCTTTACAAGTTCTGCATAAATAGGCAGTAATTCTCTCTCCACGTTTATCCCATGTATTTAGAAGAAACTTTCAAGAAAAAATAGAACGGAAGAATTGAATTTCCGTGCCTTTTGGGCGTGTGTCTGTATGGGGAGGAAATGGAGAATTGGAAAATGTACAAATAATGGAAGTATAAACAACACAACAACAAAAAAATAGAATTTGAAAGTTGAGATGGAAGAAAATCCAATGACAAGTGTTAATTATTCTGGTTGAGAATATGATGTGATAAGGAGCTTCCTAGGAGCCAGAGCAAAAAAGACAATTGAAGAGTCATCTATCTATCTTCCTCAAAAGCAGCTTGAATCACAAGGTTTTCAGGAATGCAGAGTGGTGTTAAATTCTTAAAGGCTATTTTTTGGCGAGCAAACTGAAAAGTCCTCACGAACAGATTCATAACAAATGCAAAAGCATTCTTCATGTGGCTGTTATCAGCCACTCCTGGAAAAAAACCACAGGGATGCCTTCAAAGGAAGACTTCACGTTTAGACTGAAATATACACATATCTTAGATCTGTGGGTGTGTACATGTTTCTCCACAAAAATTTTGATCCAATGTTTCAGCAAATCCTTAAAGG